TGATCAAACCTCCTTCCCCTCTTCCACATCAAACACACAACATAGAGTTTATGGAAACCCAGGACTCTGAAGACTCACCACTGCTGTTCTGCTCCAGTGCTGGAAGACCTGCTTTGTGGGGACCTGTCCCAAAGCTCCCATCCCCATTCTGTGATTCTGTGTCTTCCTTCCCTGATCCCCATGCCTACCGCTGAGACAAGCTCAGCCTGCAGGAAAGGAGCTGAGTAGGTGTAGTGTGGGGTGAGACAGAGTCCTGGGTTTCCATAAACTGTATGTTTATTAAACCCTCCAATTTCAGAGCAGGGTTAGTCAGGGCATCTTTTCCAGTGCTGGAATAAATCTAAGCAGCATGTGCTCACCTTCAGAGGGCAGCACAGCTTGGCAAAATGTTCAGAGATGCTTTTTCATTCCGCAGCCCCCGTTTGGGTTTTTCTGTCAGTCCTGCATGAAAAGTGATTGTGCCCCTCAGGACAGCTCCATCAGACAGTGCAGTTTAACAGCCTACTAAAATGCTGGCAACAAGTTAAAGTTTCAAAGCCATTGTGCCTCGTTGCCTCTTTCCAGGCAAAGTATTATTTACCTTTTCCCTTCCTCCCTATGGTAGTTAGCAAGATGCTACACTAGAAACCGAGTGGCTGCTCCCTGCTCTCTCCCTCCCACTGTTGTACATCTCTTTTATAGTCCCTCTAAAGAGGGTCATCTCCACTGTTTGAAGAACTCCACGCTCCATTAAAAAGTCCATCAGGACCAGATGCACTCACAAACAGACATTCCACCCTGCACCATTTCCTGTCCCTCTGAAACAGACCAAAGGCAAACATGTCCATTTTCTCTCAGGATGATATGTAAAGTCTCCGCGTAGGATTGGCAATGCTGCTTTCAACAAGCAGAAGCCAATCTCGTAGTCAAATTGCTTCAAAAGCACAAGATGGAAGAATGAAATTAAAAATTATTGACGTATACATCTTTGTTTTCTGGCTTTTGAGTCTCTGGGGCTTACCTTTTGAAGGTCACTTAAGGGCAAGAATGGTCTCTTCTTAAAAATCACATGCTGATGTACTGGTGTATTTATTTATCTTCAGAGTGTAGAGCTTTAAGGAAATACCAAATATTGCAGTGTCACTAAAAATTGGGGATGAGATTTGGATCCCATCAGGTGACAGTTGCTTCCACTGTAAGGAGCATCAAAATCTGCCATACCATGATCTCTTTTTCTCTTATATAAGTTGTTCCACTAAGAAGTAACACAGACCATAAGAAAGGCCATGCCATAGCCCATATTGGGGAATTCAATACATGTGAGAAACAACTTGTACCAATATAAGTTGTTCTCCCAGTAGTAACATACCAATGTTAAAGATATGGATAGCAAGACCAGAAACATCAATTAAATAATGCCCCCAATCAATTCCATTGCAATTTTTTAGAAAATTATCTAATGAATATTGTTTCCATTATTTAGCTAGTTTGACTCTTGCAGATAAAAACCCGGATGATATAGCTGGTAAGGAGTTGTCCAGTCTCTTATACTAAATACTTACGTGAAATCATTACTTCTATTTTCGTTTTCTTGTACTGTTTTCCATGCACAAAGAGTTTAAATCCTCAGTTAACCTCTGGGCTACATTTTTTTCCCTCTTCTGTGAGTGTCTTCTCTCGTGTTAAAAGTTCTTGGCCAAAATGACTGTCTATCGTTTCCCATGATACGACTTAAAAATAAAAGTGATTATACAAGCTGGTTGTTCGAAAGTTCTATTTAGCCTGAAGATGCAACATTTTCTGGCTGACATAATGAATTCCTCATCTGAATTGCCAGCAGCCACTGTGCATGTTCAGCGTGTTTCCAGACAGGCTGCGCTCTCCAGGATTTTGGCTGTGGTTTTTGGTTTTTTATTAAGTAGTCAGGGATTGCATAGGCCCCTTAATAAATATGGATAAGAATATGTATTTAGTTGGTACCATAAGATGACATGACAGAGCTAGACAGGTTCGCTATAGTAAAAAAAACCAAAACCAAAACCAAACAAAAGCCAGTTTCTGATTTCAATTGCACCTTTTTGTCTCAATAGGTTCAAGTGAATTGCACTGGTCTTATTCCTGTCTAATGTAACCTTATTAAAAAATCAAGACAAATACCTGTCTCCAAGATATCTGGGGCCATGATCAGGTTTATGTACTTTACCAGGATTTTGGTCATACATAAATACATAAAAATATTTAACAGTGAAAGTCATGCTCTGAGTTAACTCATCTATGTAGATTTCTCTCTAGGATAAGGTGACTTAAAACCCAGAGATAACTGTCCTCCTTATCCACACTACGGTATTTACTTTCTAGGAAGAGCAACTTAAACTGTATGAATCAGATAGAAAGCAGCCAAATGGTCGTGGTGGGCGGTAGTTTTTCTTTTTAAGTTACTGAAATTGAAGGGCTATCGTAAAGAGTCTATGTAAGCAGTAGTACAAAGGCTGGCTTTACTCATCACATCACAGTGAGCAAGTATTGCTCTGAGTTTTGGATTGCTGTAAAGCCTGGTCTGCTTAGGAGAGGCCAAAATGGAGAGTGAACTCCATCTGCTGCTTCCACTGGAAGAAACTCACATTGTCTTCTCAAACCAGCAGCCTGTTGCAAACTGGTTTTGAACAGGGAAGTTCATGCTCAAGTACTCATCGGTCCCCTCCTAGGAAATTTAACTGCAGTCAGTCTGACTTTTTAATCTTGCAGTCTCCTAGATGGATATAAACAAAAGATTTTATATATGGAAAGTACTTTTTGTATATTGTGTGTGTGGATTATGACTGCTACTTAGCTAAGACTAAGGCCAGGCTCCTGATTCTCTATTGAGACTTCTGATGTGACATTCTCTCATCTTGTACGTCATATCTTTAACTCATTAAAATTAGAGTTTCTTCCTTGGTCTTCAGTTAAAGCATCTCATACTGAAAAATTGCAAAGCTTTGAACACAGTGAGACCTGCGTTCATTCACTAGTTCTAAAAATAAAGCCCTTCGCATGAGCTAGTTGAAGCAGCACTTTATTTTTCAGAAATGTGAATATATTTGGCATTCCAATTTTCCCTGTTGGAGTCAGCCCTTGTCAGTCACTTGTTCTGACAGGAGCACAGAAAAAAAGTATTAAGGAAGAACACTCACCATGGTCTTATTGTGGGACATGAATTATGGGAGGGGAATGTTTGCCAGTAGGTTTGCTGGGTTTTTTAAAATGGTTGAATGTGAAGCAAATAATGGTGACTTTATTGAGATTGTTATTGCTGAGATTTTATTTTGTGCATCCTATCTGTAACAAACATCCTGTCTGAATATAAGAGTTCAGTTTCTGAGTACTGAGACCAAAGTAATAAAGAAGTATATGAATCTCCTCATAGAGCTACCCTGATTTTACTACTATGTAAGGTTTTATCTTTCTTCTGATCTCCTGGTAATTACCGCCTTAAAAGCCTTCAGACATCATATATTTTGCATGCATTGACTGAGTTTAAGCATATAAAGACAAGGATGTAATTACGACGGAGTTTTTGAGCCTTACTTAGTCAAAACTCATCTATGGCAGCAGCAGCTTTATTTGCTAAAAGGCTGAAGACGAAGGCCCAGAAACCCAGAACTAATGCAACATCAAACCATTCCAAATTTTTACATGGGTTTTGTGCTAGCATTTTTCTCGCTTATTTGCAAGCATGTTTTTTTCAAAGCATTCAGCATAGAAAGGGTTATGTTCACATCTGCACCCTGCAATACACGCTCTCCTTTACCAATTTACCAGAGCCTTCGCAACTGAGGTATTGCTAACACACGGAAACATGTTTACTAATGTGCAGACCGAGTGCTTGTGTCATTTCACATAAACTGTCACCCTTGCCCTGTTCCCCGCAGGTGCTAGCAGCTGGGGTCATTACACTTAACAGGGGAAGCTGATGGTTCACGCAATCATCTCTTCTACAGGAGTAATTTGTTTTTCAGTATTTTCACCTACTCTGAACAGGCCAAGGACTTCATACAGCTGATCACACCTGCTACACCAGTAGTTTTCTTTGGCGCTAGCCTTCAGGTATGCAGTTATTTTTGTACTCTGAAATACAAAATTGTGTGCAAGAAATTTCCATTTTGTATGTAATTACAGTGGCTCCCAAGCATAAGGCTGTTGCACAGTACAAAAGGTTTCTGTATAAAGAAGTAGCGGAAGTCAGCTCAGTAAACATTGAATCCTTGTACATCAAGAGACACATCAGATATTTACTGCAGATTATACATAGTCATCCTCTGGGAAGCTGAAGTATTTTTGGAGGATCACATAGGTTCTGGCCAGAATCTTATGTTATATTGAAAGCTTCTGAACTTGCAGAAAGGCACCCATTAGCTTCAAGCACCTAAAACACCTAAGCCCTGACACATTTTCACATTTTCAATAACTAAAATGGCACCAGACTACAAATTTTAAAAATCCTCTTTAGACATGTCACCTAAAGTTGTTATTAATTTATTTTCCTCCTCCTCATTCAAAAGCTCTATTGCAAGTTTTCTGGCTAATGACTGGAAGGGGTTACTTTTGTTTAAATAGCTTAATCCTTTCTCTATTAATAGATATCTCTAATCAAATGTTATCCGACCTTCTATTTCACCACAGAACCGAGTAAACTCAGCTGTTCAGGAACATGCCTTTCGGTGCCTAGAGTATTGTATTAAGATATCTTTGAAAAGCAAGACTTTAGGGGAGGAATAGCTTTGCAAGAACATCCTAGTATACATGTATAAGGAATGACTGGATTATTTAAGTTATCACAACAGGGGACTGTCAACACAGAGAAACCCATGCAAAGATGCATACAGGGTGATCCTGTGTTTTACAAGACACAAGTTTATTCCGAGAGTATTTCTAGTTCTAGTCCAATTTCAAAAGGTTTCTTCTGCCTACAGTTAAGATTTTCCTAGGTATTGAAGATGCTGTCAATCTCAAGAAAGAAAAATTAATTACTCCTCAGTTTTTCTGGGATTGTTGTAATGGGAAAGGCAGAATATCAGTCAAACTTACGAGGAACTTGAGACAAGAGCATTAACTTTCTACATCAAAATCCAGCTCATTCAAGAGCAAAGCGTTCATTGACTACAGCAAGAAGTGGTCTGCATATGCCAAGTTCTCTTTTATGGAGAAGCATATCTGCCAAAGAAAAGTATGCTTTGCGTTGGGTTGTGGCGAATGAAGAAAAGGAAAGGATGGTCAGCATTGAAATCCTCTTCCATAACCATGCAGAGCATAGCAATGCCAGCAGTGGCAGCTGCAGCTTCCACGCCTTCCTCATTCACGTCTACAAAAGCCTTGTGGACAATTTTAGAAAGAAAGAGGTCACGTGCCCCTGACATTCCTGACAAGTCAGCCTTGCCGCTGTCAAATACATCCAACAAGCCCATGGCGGATAAATCGGATTTAAGGTCATAGCTTTCTTCTAGCTTAAACTTTGGCAAATGCACATGAACATCAGTGGAATAGAGATGCTCTGGACATGTCCATTCCTGGAGCTTCTCTAAGGTAAGCTGCTTTTCCAGCTAGAATTAAAAAGACAGAGATCATTACATATCACCAGTGTAGAAATATTTCATTTTCAGTAACATTTACAAGGCTTTATGCAGCACTATACAACTATAAAGCAACTATACAAAAATGACCATACCCGTATCTTTGATAGCTACGTATAGATCAAACAAATGCTATTAAAATTAAGTGGAGTCAGTGCAGTTTTTACTTTACAAAGTAATGCAGACATTTGCTTCTTGCTGCAATGTACAGAAGGGAAAAACATGTACTGATAGCAACTAAACCCAGTCATTCTTACTGTTTAATCTAACTAAATGGAATTACATAATTAAAAACCAAGTAACAAAAATAATCATCAGAGAGCTTGAAGAAGCTGATGTGTTCCTGGTCATTTAATGGAAAACCGTCTCACTACTTTAAGGCTAAGAAAATAAAGACTTTCAAAAGTAATGAAAGAAAAGTTCTGTCATTAAAAAAAAATAAGTGTAGCAAGTTAATTCTCATAGTTAACTTTGTTTTCTCATTCTCCCTCATGGTTCAGTTCAGCAAGCCAAAGGACACATGAGCACAAGCTACAAAACCAGAACACAACTTCTCTTCTTGATGCAGCACATGCACATGTTCTTCACTGCAGTGCTAGTAGAGCATTGTCTAAAAATATGCTTGATGGATACAGGGCTCCGAGAACATGGGTTCATTAAGGCTTTAATTTTGCATGGCTGAACTTATCCATTAAATAACTGCATTAGCTGAGATGGGTCACCTTCTGCAGTCCAGTGGAGTCATCTTCAATGTCATCAGGTAACAGGACAATCATACTAAGTTCTCTTCCATCATAAGGCAGCTCTAAAATGCGGATCTTCACTTCAGGGATATACCCAAAACGAAATTTGTTTTTCTGATACATCATTTTCACTGTCTTTCTTTCATTCTGGATGGATAAAAGGTACCAAAAGTAACAGTTAAGAAAATACTAATTTAAAGAACTGATAGGAAACAAGTAAGTTAAAAATTGCATCCTTGCAAAAACTCTTCCTCCGTTATATCAGGTGATTGTAAAACTGCCTTTGTCATACTCCTGACTGTCTGTTTAACACCAGCTTCTTCTGAAGACATAATGAGTTTGTATTATATGTGTTTCTCCTTTGGCTTCTACAGCACAGTCCTCACAGAAACTGAAACAATTTCTTTGAGTTGCTGTACCTTTGTATTGTTCTAGCCCCCAAAATGACATTAAAAATCAACAACGATCAACTGTTCAGCATAAAGCAAATGACTGTATACAGTATCTTGTAAAGCTGTTAACATAAGCAGAATATAGAACAAGAAAATGGGGCTTAACCAAAATGTGCAAACGTTTTAATACTGTTTACCTAGCATCACAAACAGGCACAGTTCATAGCAGCTGAAACTGCTAGACAGAAACTCTGCTAGGCACAGACAGGGTCCTAATCTATATGTGAGAATCACCTCTGATAGTATTGCAGTAAGTGAGACAACAAATAGCTTGCTGAATACAGAAAAATACTAAGATCGATAAAAAACCCTTCAGGTGAACTGAAAAGATTAATGCAAGACTTTGTATTTTTTTATTATTTTATCTGTAAGCAAAGCTTCACTTTAGCACCTATATTATTTGACCTTTTCATTACATATATACTACCAAGGCATATCTGTATTACCTTATTTAACCGAAATGGCATGCCAGTGGTGTTAGCTTCTTTAAATTTCTCTGCCCAGCTCCCTTTGAAATAAATAGCGTTCACCAGTACGAGCCTGGTTGTGTTATCAACTGAGCCTTCAGACAGCAGATTAGGGATTTTACCTTCAGAGGGGGAAAAAAAAAGTCACAACAAAATCTTGTAATAAGTAAGTGGATGGCATATAAAACACACATGAAGAAACTGATGCCACAGAAATACTACAAATATAAAACTCTAGTCCATTCCTGTAATAAAGTGTGTTTCGGTACCTGTCTCTCTACTTCACCATAGTTTTTAATAGTACACACTACTATAACTTTTGATATACAGTAATTTGATGAAAATGTAATATTTTTAGCTTAAACTGTCACATATGACTCATCATACAAGAACATTAAACACATTTAGGATTACTGGATTTAGAAATATACATACAATATGGACTGGGACTACCTAAAACAAATTCTCCAGCTCATGAGTATAGATCTATGTTTAGACATCTCTCCTACACTCATTGGCCTGAAGACAAAAAATGTCAGTCTCAGGACTTACAGAACTGTTTAAATGTCTTGCTTAGGTATCTTCTGGTTCTGTCAACGCATCAAGTGAATATCCCAGGGCAAAATTAAACTGTTGTAAAGGCAGGAGAAAATAAAGCCTATTCCTGCTCCCAAAGTATGAAACACTACCAGTTACTTCATTAACCAAAGTAGTTTACCTTCAGTTTTCTCCTCTACCCACTGGTTAATTTCTTTCCTGGCTTCATCACAAGCCTGAAGAAAATCAACTGTAGCCAAATCAGCTCCATATAATTTCTGAGTATTAGTCAGGAAATCCTAGATTTTGGAATGATAAGAATAGCTTTCATTGCATGCAGATAAGAAAACATCTCTTTATGATGTAGATAAGGTGCATGTCATACAGATTATCACCTGCTCTGAGGTGGGGCTCTAACAGTGCACTGCCTGGGTGGTTTCTAGGGTTGGGTTGCTTTTTTTTTTCCCCCTCTCAGAGTAAGCCTCATAGTACATTTGCCACATATATAGCTGATGGTGTGCTTACTGCAGGTGTTGCAATATTTACCTGTCATTCTCCTGAAATAGGCTCAAGCACAGCTAGGATAAAACTAAACTCTCCAAAAGAGCTGAAGATGGATAAAAATAGCAACCGAGGTACACACAAAGGTATAATTCACTGGTGAAGAGGTATGTTGTTTAGACATGTTGGGCAACCCCTCCCAAATAAATACAGTGTTTTAAAAAATACTTAAGTAATGTGGTACTAGACCAATGAAAATCCTAAAAAGCTGATTGCAACAGACACAGAGCTGGTTGCATCCTAAAAAGCCGGTTGCAACAGAGTGGGATGTTACGATAGTTGCTGTAAACTAAGAACCTAAACAAAAGATTTTTCTCTTGAGCCCAAGAGCAGCAGAACCAAACAAGCAATGAAAAGGATTTGCTGTGTAGCACCCTTTAGGTGAGATGCACAGATGCCTACAGATATGGAAATGCATATGCATGTATGCAACACTTTTGTCATCTGCCCAATAACATTTAGAAATATGCCTAGAAATACTTCATAAATACTCAAATAGCTGCATCTTCCCACCAGGTTCCACCACACCATCATGATCTGCACCAGCGTACCGGCAAAAAGCTGTAGGACTTCTCTCCAAAAAGCCGATTGGCAAGCCGTAAGAGATAGGGAGCATTGCTTCTGTTTATATCCATAGTCAGAGTCTGAAATCTTGAATGAACACCTTCAACTTTGTCAAAATGAAGCGTCTGAAATAACAGAACAGAACAAGCTGCTGCTACTACTGTCTTAAAAGAACATACAGTGTATCTATAGAGTAGGCCAGACCCAGCAGGTAGGTAGGCTGAAGAAAGAGGAAAGAAGAGGCTGGAAGCTGCTTAGAGACTTCGGCAAACCTCGAAGAATGAATGAAACTGTTTCTTGATGCTACGCTACCTGTGTCAGCCACCTGTATTAAGCTCCTAGTTTATACGTAGTCACAGCTGAAGCTGTTGATCACAACCCCGAGTCCTGTCCGCGTGACGTCTGCAGGCCTCCCCTCCGTGGACCACTGGGCACAAGGACTCATTCCCAGGTGGGGAATTGAAAAGAGACAATGCCATAGAGACACTTTAGCTTTCTTAGCTTTCTGGCTTCCCCCTTGGGCCCCAAGGGAACCTGGGGTTTTGCTTTTCAGAACATACAATCAACACTAGCACAGGTGAGGTCTTAAGAAAACTTAGAACAATTATCTTTTATGGTTTTATGAAAGTGTAACTACATATATATATATATTAAAAAAACCAAACCCTGTATCATCTTAAAAATCAAATGCATCACTGCAGTATCTCTTTACCAGTACCTCCTTTCCCAGAAGCAAGCTGGCCAGCCAAGGCTTACAGGTACGACAGCAGGAGCTGCCAGACCTCATTGACAGGGAAGACTAGATTAAAGCAGGGACATTCACATTCGAACTTAAATCATGTATTTCTCAGTAGGGAAGGCTGCTGTCAAACAGCCACTGGATTCAAAGGAAAGCCCTCATTTTATCTTACTGGGTTTTTGGTCAGGAATTGCTGCCCACATTAATGCAGGCTGTGTTGTACATACGAATAGCTGAGCAAGAACATCACGGAGACAACTTACAATAGGATTATGATCACAGAAACAAATTTCTATATGCTTGCAAACAGCCCTTGACAGTTATCAATCATTGCCTCCCTAATTAGCTATGTTTTCATAAGTAAAGCACTATGGTATGGGAACATGCATTACTGAAGGTGACTGCTGAAATACATTTTTTTCCTCAAGTTCCTTTTGCATGATTTCTGCTGTCAGTAGGTTTATCCTAGGTGGGGCTGTCAGTTTGATTACATGGCATATACATTCAAAGTCTGTTTGTACAAGTCGTGAGAAAATAATTTTATTGTCTTACTCAGTAGGCACAGCACCACTCAACAGTATAAAACAGTTCCTCCTTCAACAGTATAAAACAGTTCCTCCTAACGTCCAGAATACAAAGGTGAAATTGTTCATAGGCAAGTACATGATGATGACCGCAATGAGAAGTCTCATACGCCCTTTTGCACCAGCGGGCGTTAGCCTAACAAAGGGGAAAAATAATAGTGACTAAGTCCCTTCCGTGCAGGAGGCCTCTGGGGGAAACTGGCACAGTACTACGTATACCATTTTTGCATTTTATAATGAGTTTTTTTAAATTATCCTACCTAACCTAAGGCTATGGTAAGAGTAAGCATGTGGGCCCAGCTCCTCTCACGTATCCAAGTGCCTAGCTGTTACTAAGATACTGATACTTAGGTAGCATCATCATGTATTATCATAGTTGTTCTGCTTTAAATATCAAACTATATATTGTGTTTCTTACAAAATACACAGTATTATTAGTATAAGCACACACCATTCGTAACCTTGTATTACAAAGCAATAGTTCTTTGTTGAAACGTCTCAATGAAAACTAGTAAGGCCATGCTGCTGGAAACGCTGGTCAATTTATATGGAGACTGATTAATTAATGAAATTAGTTTCCTACTTCGAGAATTAATAAGTGAAATCAAATAAGAAACAAGGGCCACAGCAAATATGGAAAGAGGGCTCTGGAGCCGGGCAGGCAGAAGGTAACCGCAGAAAGGAGCCCCAGGAAGACTCAGTGAGCATGACAGAAATCTTGTCCTGAGCACATAAAAATAATACCGTTCTGTCATTTTCCCTCCTCTAAACCACAACAATTTTTAATGTAAATAAAATATAAAGGAAAAGAGAATTATTTTCTTTCTACTAACCTTCAGCACCTGGGCCTCTGTATTACCTTTGGCCCCTAAAAGGACCATGGCCAGGGCAGCAGAGATACTGACAGGAGAGAAGAAAACATTTCCTGTTGGGTTGGTCTCATTAAACCTTCTGAGCAGATCAAGTGCAAATCTGCTGTTGGCATTACGCAGGCTCTCCATGGTTATAGCTGAAAAATAAAACAGTCAGTAAGGACTCTGGGAAACACTCTTCAAAAACCTAGCCTAACCTTGTGTGACTCTCAGAGTAGAGAGCGGATTGACCTGGTTGCAGCTGCGTACTGTCCTGGTTTCGGCTGGGATAGAGTTAATTTTCTTCCCAGTAGCTGGCACAGTGCTGTGTTTTGGATTTAGTATGACAATAATGCTGATAACACACTGATGTTTTAGTTGTTGCTAAGTACTGCTTACACTAGTCAAGGACTTTTCAGCTTCCCCTGCTCTGCCAGGTGCACAAGAAACTGGGAGGGGGCACAGCCAGAATAGTTGATCCAAATTGACCAAAGGGCTATTCCATACCATATGACGTCATGCTCAGTATAGAAACTGGGGGGGGG